GGAAAAAAACTGAGAAACTGCATTACCATGATGGGGGATAAGTGGCAAATATTGCGGGAGTCCTAGGAGAGGAGTGTAAGGTCGATGAAAGAAACTGGCGTTTAAGCTGCAAGAGTAAGACGTGTCTAGACAGAGCAGGGCAGAGAAGGCAATCTAGTCACCGAGGGAACGTTAGCGAGTGCCCCGAGGCATGATACAGCACCAGGTGTCCGAAGACAGCTGGGAGACATAGGAGACACACAGGCTTGAAGGTCAGTGTCATTTTCAGAAGGACTTGAAATAGTCCAAGGAAATGGCAAAAACCAGGGCAGGACTGTGTAGGAGATGAGGGAAGCAGGTAGACTCTCTTTGTCACATAATTTGGCAGTCTGTGTGCTTTACTTTTCTTGGGACAGGGCAAAGGGGAATCTGTGGCAAAAAGTCTTAAGTTCAAATGACAGATGGTGAGGGCTTTTATTGGCTAAACAGACGGGATGGAGTTCAGGGGCGGGATTCATTGGATACAAGTGGTGGCCAACTTGATGTGTGTTGTGAAGGGGAGCGAAGGGAGCTACAGTTTTTGTATGAAGACTTCTTTAATAGCATGGGAGGAGAGGAAATATGTGAAAAGGGCTTTGTGGAGAAATGAGGAGTGGGTTTTGGTAGGTGGTAAATTTGAGCGAGCATAATGATAATATCTGCAGTAAGTTTAAAAAACACACATATAGACATAGATGTAGATTAGAGAGGTGTTTCACGCTTGGACATGTTTTACCCTGAGCAGAGGGAATTTTCATGAGTAGCCCTGAATTATTTGCATGTTTACATGCTTATATATATGCATATATAATATATGCATATATATTATATATGTATAATATCTGTTCTTTTATATCTATGCAGATACAATACTTCGAAAGAGAGATGCCATAAAACAGTAAGGAAGGTTAGGTGGAATTCCCGAGACAGACTTAAAATCCTGAGTGTATTTGAATCCAGAAAGTGGGAGGCTGCGTGGGATTGGGAGAGTACTCGGACAGAGCCCCAGGACAGACAGTAGCTCTTCCTTTCTCTCTCCAGTGCCTTTCAACCTTCACAGCCAACCTCCTCCTTCACTCATTGAAAAAGGAAGTTTGTACCTCTCACCTGCACAGCAAACCTGGCAAACTACCCATGATGTATTCGATATGCCAAACACAGTAACAAGTCTCACAATGTTACTGGGCCTGCTCAAGCAAATCGATGAACAGCGGGAGGACAGTGACAGTGACAGTGAGCAGTATGCTTGGATGATAGAAAAAAAAATTTTTTTTATCCTTAAAAACTTAAAAACTCCCTTAAAAAGTCTTTCCTGTTAAAACATTGGAGGCATCTTACAACTTAAGCAAAGCAGATTTTCCCTGGGAACTGTGTTCAGAAAGTCAGTGCAGGAGTGGTGTGGTCAGTGTCCTCCACAAAGCTGCTGCAGTTATTTTTAGAGAACGCGCAGGTGAAGTTTAGGAGACAGCTGAGGTGGGGGGTGGGGTGGGACAGAAAGAAGGAAGGGGTGTCCTTGAGCTGAAGACACCGTCACAGTTTTTGTGAGATCTCCCACTTATTGCACAATTACTTAAACTCTTTTCTGCTAAATTAATTCACTTTTATGCAAAAAAACTGTTTATACCTGACAGGCAGTATCACTTTTGAAAATGAAGACCTGTGTCACTATGGTGACTGTTTGTGGGGATGAATTTTACAAACGAAAGGTTTCAATACAAAGCTCAGTGGCTGAGGTTATGCTTTGCAAACAGGAGACCCAGGGTTCAGACCCAGAAGGCGCCGCCTGGTCTTCAAAGCACAACCAGGAGTGATTCCATAGCATAGAGCCAGGAGTAAACTCCGGCATCTCTCTCTCTCTCTCTTTCTCTCTCTCTCTCTCTCTCTCTCTCTCTCTCTCTGGGTATGGTCTGAAAAACCAAATCAAACCAATTAAATCGATCGAAATCTTAGCTACATAGTGTTATATGCATATGGCTATGCACAGGAGATCTGCTATCTTCATTTTTGTTTTGGGAGCCACACCGGGCAATGCTTAAGGGTTACTCCTGGCTCTACACTCAGGAATCACTCCTGGCAGTGATCAGAGGTACCAGGTACAGAACCGGGGTGGGCTGTGTGCATGGCAAGCACCTGTGTTATCTCTCTCTGTGCTATCTCTCTACCCCCAAAATCTGCTGGTTTTTGACCAAAAGTGTGATTTAAGTGACCACATGAAAGATTTTTCAACTATTTTAGCACCAAACTCAGATTTTTCCCTTGTAGATAATCAGAAGGATTGAAATAAATTTGGAAAGAGAGTGACTTTGTCATCAAGCAGTTCGATGTTATATAATCTCGGGTATCACTGGTGGCATTCAACCAACACTTTAAGTACCCTGTTCTAGAACGAATGCTAAGGAGAGGTAAGGAGGGTGATTTGAAACCAAAGCAGACTGGAACCATCCTGGGTCAGAGAGCGAATGGCCCACTCCCTGCCCTTGGAACTTACTGCAACACACACTCGAAGGAAACTTTTCTCCCTGATGGATGGTACAGAGTCTATAGCACTGTGGGTGGTGTTGGCGCCCTGCTTCTTGGTGAGATGAAATCTCCAAAGTGATCCAGGGTAAGAGAAGGTCAAGAAGGCACATGGTCAGATGAGGAAGAGAGTGAGTTGAACAGGACTGTGTACCACACGGCTTGATGGAAGCAGGAAGGGTCACCGTCACCTTCCGCTGATGAGGCCACCGTATAGAAAACCAAATGTGCTGCTAACTAAGCAGTGGCATTTCTAAAGAACAGCCATCAGGCACAGTGACACGCACTGGGCCCATCCATCTTCCGGGAAAGAGGTTGCTGCCCGACAAGGCCAGATGATGTGGGCTTCATATCACTTATTCAGGAGTTTGTAAGATCTGACTTCCCGGCACCCAAGACGGGGGTTTGAAGTTACTTGAAATGATGAAAAAATAAGAAAAGACAACTCTCATCTTCCCACTGATACTATGATGGGGATGTTGTTCTGATCTTTTTGCTTTCATCAAATTAATTGCCCATCTCTTTGCAGTGGCTTAGAAAAAGGATGTAGCTACTGTCTGGGAGCGCAGCCTGGCTTTGAATGGTAATGAGGGATGAGGGCACACATGGCTGTTCTTGAAGGCTGGGAAGGAGGCGGCAAGAGGGTTGCTAGCGCGTCAAGGGTGTGACTTCATTTCAAATATTTGCTTGGGCTGTTGGAGGTATGTACCAGAAAAATGCAAACATTGTCAATCTTGTTGGAAGGTCATAGTGTAGCCAAACATTGCTACTTCTAATTTCATTTGGAACATCAGAGTGTCAGAATTGAAAAGGGACCACAGGGAACATCTAATTAAAGGCCCTCATTTTTCAAATGAGGAAATTCAGAGGCCATGGAGCTCGCTCACAGTAGAAGTGGGAAGCAACCACTTGTCCTTTTCACTTACATAGGCCAAATAAAAAGCCTTCTTAAAGGTAATAGGAAATACATCATCTGGTGGCCGGAGAAAGAGAGTCTGTCTAGTTTAAATGGAGGTTAGTTAAAAATAATTCTTGTTTATGATGAATAGTGTTTTTGTCCTCCCTAGCTGTCTAGACATTTAATAATTCTCGTTCTCCTGGTGATTAGGAAATTTGCTTAAGGTAGGAGAAGTAGGAAAGGGAGGCGGGAACGAAGGCAGGTGATACGCAGGTTATGCTCAGCGCTACCAGGCTTTTCCAGGGCTCCATTTTTAAAAGGTTCTTTTCTACCAGTGGCCTGAAGCTCCTGTTTTTCAGAGGAAGTGTGGCTGGTAGGTATTCACAGTTTAATGACAAAATGCCAGAGGCTGTGCATAGGTGAGTGTGTGTGTGGAAAGGGGGGGGGGGGATTTGGAAGCACACCCCCCTCCCCGCTCCTCCCCAGTCCCTTGTCTGTCAGACAGTCCTGCTGGGAAGAATGAGAAATTTCACCAAGACCGCACCAGCAACCCAACTGAGGCTTCTATTTTCTCAGGCCCTCGGCTGCCTTTCTCATTCGAGAGAGAAAACTGATACAGAAAGCAAAGCCATACACTTTTTTGTCAAACAAAATTAGCTGCCATCAGCTGAAATGACAGCTTTTCCACAGTGCCACCGACAGAGCACTCCCCGCTCAGGCAGCATTGATCTCTGCAGTAATCATAGTAATAATAAGGCCTTCGATCCAGGCTGTGGTTTGCAGTTCAGAAAGGTTTCCACGTGTGTTATCGCATTTGCTCCTTCAGGCAAGGGACCATAGTTCCCATCCCACAGAGGAAGAAACTGAGTCCCAGACAAATTGGCAGACGGCACCTGGGGGAGGGGGGAATCTGGTGCTACATTTGGTGCTCTTTGGTTTCTTCTCTCATGTTACTTAAAAATTCTCTTAAAGGTAGCAACCTTACCTACTGCTGGAAGGAAATGTATTTAGAAAGTGAACCCAAAGTATGGAGCACTGTTCCTGATGTTTGCAAATGCCTGGCATGTGAGAGCTGCCATTCAGGAATATTATTCCAGAAAGGGGGATTCACCAAGATCACAGGACTGGGGATCAGAAACTTCTCTCTTGGAGTCTGGAATCTGGCCCTTTCTGCTCTTTGAACATGCTTTGTACAGAAGGGCCAAATGACTTACCTCTCCTCAGAACAGCAACACCCACAAGGTGTAACTGTGAAATGAGATGCACATGTGCATGCAGAATGTAGTATGGTACCCACACTTAGTGCTCAGTAAAGCTTAGGGATGATCGTTACCTCACAAGGCCTTGTTCATAATCCCCACTGCCAAGGAACAAAACAGTGTCTGCCTGGGAACCAGATGTTAACCCCCAGAATTAAACGTCCCGTCTTTTTAGTCTCAGGTATTCGTAGACCTCCTGTCTCTGCCCCTCTTCCCTTCCCCTTCTGCATCTAAGGGGGATTCGCAGTATATTATTGGAGCCCACAGTATCTTAGCTCAACAGAGCTGACCTCGTTGTGGCCAGGTACCTGTATATGATGCACGCTGTGTTCTGGCATGTTCTGCAGTTGTTCAGATCTTGGCCGGTTCGATAAAAGTTGCGTCTGCAAGATAGAGCATTTTTTTTCTGACTAAATCTATGGACGAGCGCCAGGTGAGATGCACACATCCTAGCAACTCGTGTCTAGAATACAGCACACACACACCCGCTTCCCTTGTCATCAGTAGCCAGGTGGTACTGCTCTTAAAAGTCATGCTATACGAGGTTTTTCTTTCTATGCCGACAACAGTCTTATGAAATGAGTCCGTTGTTCTTCCCCCCTTGTGTTAGATCAGGAAAACGGAGGAACTCTGAATGAATGGAAGGGGGATTCAAATCTAGACCCCTGAGGGAAGTGCTTGTCTCTCCCTAGCATCAGTGCTTCTCTCTGATAAAGCAGTGCTGATTCTGAGTCATAACAGCAAAGACCAGTTAATTACCTCTTGTTCAAGGGACAAGCATTCCACACCCCAATAAGCAATGGCCTTCCCTCCCGACTGGGGATGAGTCAGCCAGACACTTTGGGCCTCTCTTTTCATTCCGAATTGTGATTTCAGTCCCCACCTAATTGGTCAGTGATAAACTGACCCAGGCCATCAAATTGATCATCAAGATCAAGGTCGACTGCAAACCCTGTGGCCGTCTCAAGCGAGTCCTTTGTGATGAGCACACGAGCAGTTACGGTATCGTGCGTGTGTGGCAAGTTGCAGTGAGGATGGGCAGCTCCACACTCCTATCACTGCCCACCCCCACCTTAGTAATAATATTTTCACCCTGTGGCATCATTGTCCCCTCTTCTCCAGTCTCTAACTCTCTGGAAATAATAAATAGCCATGGACATGTGACAGAACCTGGAATTATATGAAAACATAGTCTGAACAAAGAAGGGCCAATGACTGTGAGTTGGGGACATACCATAGCTTTAAATATTTTAGAGACATTTGACTTAGGAAAGCTCTGTCTCTCTGTCTCTGTTTCTGTCTCTGTCTCTCTGTCTCTGTGTCTCTGTCTCTGTCTCTCTCTTTCTCTTCCCCCCTTCCTGTTTCTCCCTCCCCATGCATTCCTCTTCCCCACCCTCTCCCTTGCTCTCCAACCACCTAGCCACTAACCCCATAGTTTTAAAAATATGCATATATTTTTAAATCACCTTACCCTTCCGTGAGAGCTCGGGCTTTCTCTAAGTCTTGAATTACATTCAAGAGGACTTTAATCTTCTCCTGGTTTGAGTGCAGAGACTCCTCCACGGACTGCAGCCTGCCCTGGAGGTGGCACAGCTCCCCCTGTGCCGGGTGGGTCTGGTGAGCCCCGTCAGCGTCCCTGCTGCTCTGCCCGGTGTCTCTCCTTGGCAGAGAGGACGAAAGGTGATCGCCTCCGAGGCAGCTCTGCGTCTCCGGAGGGCTGCCTGGCGGGGGTGCGCCCTGGACGGTCTGTTCCTGACACACAGTGGCAGGTTTCGATGCACTGGGAGGCCGGGGGGACTGCCGGTCCGGGTGACCGTCGCTGGCTGGCCAACAGTCTGAAGCCCCTCCTGGGTTGGCGGGCGGGCCGTGGGAGTCCAGCATGGAGGTGCTGTGCGTTTGCAGAGGGGAGGGGACACACGTTTCCTTGGACCGGGATGCCGAGGGGCCAAAGTCTTGGTCATCCGGGTTTTCTTTGGGCAAAAGCAACTCGGGTTTTAGTTTCCCCGTGCCTGGAATGTGGTTGGCACCGCTGGTGGCATTGGAGCAGGAGGGGGATGGTTCTGACTCTTGTGGTGGCATTCTTCTCCGGTCCCCTGGGCACGTGTCAGCCGAAGGCGGTGTGGAGTGGCTTCTCTCCGCTGACCTTTCCGGCCTGAAAGCGGATGCTCTCGCTGCCCAGCTCGGACTCTGGTAAATGTCATCGGGGACCTGAATGGCAGCCGTTGATTTTTCCGAGGCGCTCCACATCCCGGCGTCCAAGCAGAGGCTGACGGGGCCGTTGCTTTGCACCTTGGGCACCCTTGGGAGGGCAGGGTGGGACACCTTGACCCTCTGAGGCCCGTCCTCCAAATGCTGAGCCAGGCGTAGGTAAGCCAGGTCGGAGGACACCATGTCCTGCTCAGAGAGGTTGCCGTTGAGCTGGGTGGCACTTTGGGAGGCCGTGGGCATTTCCACCAAGGACTTGCTGGCCGTGAGTCTCTTCCTCCTGAAGACTGGGAAGTGTTTCCTGAGACTGGGGGAGGTCTGGATAGCCATGTTCCTCAAGCCCCCCGCCTTCTGGGACCGGGGGAAGGAGAGCGAGTAGGGGGGCAGGTGGTGGTGCCGGGCTGCTTGAGTCTTGCCCATCACAGTGGGGTCTTGGGGCGTGGGGGCGGCGACCTCAGCGAGGCCAGGCGGGGTCTTGGTGGCCCCATCCTCCTGGAACCTCACCTGCTGGGACTTGGTCCTGCGGTGGTGGGGCGGCTGCACCGGCTCCACCGACTCCAGGCTGTTCCGCTTCAGGAGCACAGGTCGCACTTTCACATGCGTCTGGGCCATGGAGGCTCACTGGGAAGGGCTGGCTCCACGCGCTGCACCGGGGCACATGTCCTTAGGTCTTTGGAGCAGCGTCCGACGCTGGGCGGTGCCAGGCCGGGTGGAGAACTCCGCTCCTCGGAGAAGGGCAAGTTCCGTCTGCCATTCCCAGCCCCTGGCTTCCTCCGGGGGGCCTGGCGTAGTGCGACTCCTTTATTTAAAATATGATTTCCACGACAAACGATAATCACCGCTTAGATAAACAGTGAGTCGGGCTAATATTAAACATCCGATCTATCGAGAGGGCTGGTGGGGTGTTTATGAAGGGAAGCCAGCAGGCAGTTCTGTTCCTGGAAGGAATGTGCTGTTGTGAACAGGGAGACAACAAAGCTACCATTTAGGGGCTTGCATCAGACTTCCGATGTGTGAATTCCAGAAGAATCCTGCTATGCGTGGGACCCGCGGCTTCCTTTCCTGGGGCACCCGTTTCCAGTGTAAAACCGCAGGAGACTCAAACACATCTCCTCTCTGCAGCGCTGGAAGCAGGCGGAGGAATAAGTGACCTGGGGGTTGCTTCAGTGATGAGACGTGACATTCCCGAGGGAAGGTCCCACAGTCAGGTCGATCTCAAATGTTTCCTTTGGGGCCATCGTTTTCTTTCATGCTGGTCTCTGTCTCTTCAGCAGGGGACACTTTTCTTCCTAAATAGTCTCACAAAACCCAGTGGGCTGTGACTGGGACGGGATGGAGGTGTTCGTGAGAACGCAGAGGACGGTGTCCCTGCTGATGTTCACCTGTGGGCAGAGTGTGCCCTGGCTGCAGTGTCAGGTAACCTGAGCCAAAACTGGTGTCCACTGGATCTCGTGAGCTGGGCCGAGGCCTGGTAGCTGTGGTGAGCAGACGCAGGGAGGCTGCAAGAAGGCAAAGGGAGCTGTGGTGACTGAGGACGCTCTGCCCCAGGGGGGCCCGGGCATGTTTCTGAATCCCTCCCTCCCACAAAGTGCTCTTGGGTAGGTCCAGGAAGAAGGCGCCCACACTGGAACCCCCAGTTGCCAACCACCATGTGGCTGCAGGGCTCAGGGTAAACGGTGTATCTATTCTCCTGGTCATTTTCTCCTTCCACCCGCCAGCGTCACTGACCCACTTCTGTCCTTCCACGAGGGCCCAGCGGACACCCCACCTCCTTCAGGGAGCCTTCCCAGAGACTGGCCTTATTACACATGGCCAATGTTAGACCATATTAATCAAGACCCAGTCTTGCCTTCTCATCTCCTCTTTCAACACAGATTGTGACTCCCATTGTGTAATCACCATGGACACATCTGTTCAGTTGTGTGTCCCTTGCTGCCCTGGAAGCTCTGGGAGGACAGGGACGAGCCCCTCAGCTCACTGCAGACCGTTCCCGGCCCTCCTGAAGGCACTCAGTAGGTGTTGGAAGGAGGAGGCGAGTCCTCTGGGAGCCAAGGGGAGTCTTGGCACGGGAGGGAGCTTTGGGATCCCGGGGTGTCCTGCCAACAAAACTAACTGGACCCTGAATTCTCTCTGCTCTAACTATAGCTTTTACATAAGAACAAGATTTTTCCCCAATGTCTTCATTTTTTAATTGCTTTCCAGGAGATAAATGTGCATAAGATTCTCAGTGAAAAGTATACCTTGTAATAATAGCAGTTACCATTTATTGAACACTTATTTTTACCACGCAGAGGGCTTTACATGCATTAATCATAGCAACTCTCATTATCTGAGTACCCACTAATGTGCCAGGTGCTGTTCTAAGCACTTTTCAAGCTGTAGCTCATCCATTCCCTACCCAATGAGGCAGATGCTACCATCATCCCTATGTTCTAGTTGAAGAAGTCAAAGCCCAGAAAGGTTAACTAACTTGCCCGAGGACACACAGGAAGAAGGCCAGAGTCTAGACCTTTATCAGCCTGTCACCAGGGCCTGTGCTCCTAAGCTCCCACCTTGGCCATGTTTCCTGTTTTGCGTTACCTCACTTTGTTTTCCCAACAGCTTTGGACTGGTGAGGAACGCACAGCTCAGAGAGGACCTGTAATGTGAACCCTCACCCGGGAGCCCTCACTCTGGGTTCTCACTGTGATCTCAAGAGGTCTGTCTGGTGTTTGGCAGGACACACCACTGATTTGACAACACAATTTGAAGACACCGGCAGGTTTAGATAGATTCAGAGGATGCCACTTGGCCTTCCCAGAGCAGGGGAGGTTCTATTGCCTGTTGGAGAGATCAGATGTTGCTAGAATGACACATGGGCAGAAGTCTGCTGGTGCTGACCAAGAGGATTTTTTACTCATTTTGTGTTTTTTGTTTGTTTTTGTTTTTGTTGTTGTTGTTGTTGATTTGCTTCATTTATGTTGTGACCAAAAAGAACTATAAAAGAAATGGAAGGTGGTAGAATAACCCTCTTTGAGAGAGCTTCCTGTCCATACGCCTGGCCTAATCTTGAAGGATTTAAGCTCTAACCATGGGTGCTTTAATCCCCCTACATTCTTCCTCCTGCTATCTGGGGTGCTAATTTTGTGAGTGCCCCCCAAACCCTTGTTGTTTGGGCTTCTACCTCCCCTCAAGAGTTGCTAGATAACGCCAGTGGTGGCTTGGTTCTCAGTCTCCCGGCTGCCGTGAGCTTGGCTGTGATCAGCAGGGCCAGGAACCATCTGGAATGCTCCAGAGGACATGCACCACCTCAGAGCTGGCCGCTTGACCCAAAGCCCTGTACCTCCTGCTCCCATTGCCCCGGCTTCACACCGCCACCCTGGATGGCTGCAGGGCTGCAGGGCTTGCAACACTCTCAGCCTCGGTTTTGTTTCCGTCCACTTCTGGCTTCCCAAGCATTGTGCAGAGGGTTCGGGGACGTTTCACAGAAACATCTGCTCAACCAATGTGGACACTTGGGTGCTCGGGAATACTGACAGGGTGCCGCTACAGGCCACCAGGCCCCTGGTGGTGCTCAGGAGCTTCTAGTACTCTACGCAGCAGTGCTCACAAGGCATCCGTTTCACCCCCAGAGATGCCCCCCGGCCCTGTCTTAGTTTCTAATGATGGCAAGGTCCAGAGCAGAAACACATTGGGGGTTTGGTAGGAGAAGTGAGGGAGAAAGTGGGACAAAGCTCTCAGCCCAAAGCTCTGCTTGCCGGAAGTGACTGGGCAGGCTTGCCATTCCTGTTGGACCCATAGTTGTTTACAACCAGGGTTCTTGTGAATGTCAGCGAGGATGTGGGGATGTGGAAGAACCAGACTCTGATTTGTTTAACAGCTGGTAGAGCACCTCGGTCCCGAGGATAGGCAGAATTTGAGGAAACTGCCTCATGCTTGATCATATTTTGGCAGCACAGGACTGGGCCCTGAGAGTCGCCTTGACCTGTGATTCTGGGGAGACAGTCCCCAGGGGCAGGCTCCTTGGTGTCTGCACAGCAACTCCAGACAAACCCGCCTTTGCCATCAGTGTCATGCAGCAGTGGCAGCTCAGAGTTCTTAGGCCTGGAAGAATCCTGTAGTTCATCCATCATTCCATGCTCTCTGCCTCATCCTCTTGAAGTCTCCCGGAAGCCTGCCTGGGTATCTCCAGTGACAGGGAGCTTCCCGCCTAATCTCATCATCAGTAATAATTACCAACAGCAGCAAATAGGAATCGAAAGCTTACCATGGTGACGATGTGACAGCCAATCCTTGGAATGCATTGTGGGTCTGATCCCCATTTTGCAGAAGGAACAATTCAGACGTAGAAAGCTAAGTCACGTGCCTGAAACCTCACAGCCTGCTAGTCTAGTGAGCGTTTCCTTTTGTGTATTTCTCTGCTTAATTGCCCTCTCCCTTAGTTCTCTCCTTAATTGTTCATTAGTGTTTCATTCTGGGAAAGTGAACTCACTTGCTCTACAGTTGTCTGAATCTGGTTTCCATAAGAGCTAATGTTCAGTGGCTATTGATTATGTGCCAGGCATTGCGAAAGGTGTTCTTCATTTAGTGTCTTCCTCAGTCCTCATGACAAGCCCAGTGGCCATTGCTATCCAATCCCAAGTTTTATAAATGAGGGAACTGAAGTCCAGGAGATTCAGTAATTTGCTCCAGTCCAGTCGCTGTCCTGGTGATGAAGTTGACACTTGAAAACAAACTCCCAAAGACAAGCTCCTAACCACTAGGTCTTCCTGCCTTCTCCAGGACTGGGAAAAGAGGAATCTTTTTATGCAGAGCTGTCAGGCAGGTTTCAAAGGCCCTTCACATTTTCCTTCTAAAGTCAGTCATCATTCTGGTTTGATCCCCCACACTTCTTTTACCAGGAATCTATGTACCCCTGAGGTATTTTCTTTTGATCTTTAAGGAAAAAAAGGTTGGTTTTCTGTTTTGAGAGATACTACATCTCCATTGTAAAAGTTCAAATAATGTAGATAAACCACCAAAAAAGATGAAGGAAAAAAATTATCTGAAAAAAAAGTCATCTAAAATAAGTCTCCCCTCAGGAGAGCGAGCTCCCCCTCCACACCCCAGTGGTTTGGTGAAGGTCATTCTAACACTCTGCATGACTGCTCACACACACACACACACACACACACACACACAGCTCTATGGAAAGACTGTTTGTACTGAGCAAGTTCCACACAGAGACTGAGGATTCACAAGCTAACTAGGCTAATAGGATTCTCTCATCAAGTTATACTGTGGTCTATTTAAATAGTATCCTTTTGTGCATATTTAGGCTGTTTCTAAATATTTGATATTATTAACAATGTGTAAATAATTATTTTTGGCAAGTGAACCTTAAATACTGTCTAATTATTTCCTTAGAATAAATTCACTCAAGAGTTAGTGAATCAGAATACCCATGCCTTTTGTCAATATTACCTTTTCCCTTCCACAGTGTTCTCTGCAGCCCCTCTCTTAACTTCTTTTCATTGCTGCCTCTTTGTCACTGTGATTGGTCAGTTTCTGATGTCCATTTTTATCATTGTCATTAAAATGGGAGTGAAATTGCCTCCCATTATTTTCAGTGTGGAATTTGTTTATGATTGAGCACTTCCTCCTGATTATGACTG